TGCCACCCCCCACAGCAGGAAGGCTCTGGGGTATTTCTCCAGGAGAACCTGTGCAGCCAGTAAGTTCTGGGGGATTTCTCCAGGAGAACCTGTGCAGCCAGTAAGTTCTGGGGGATTTCTCCAGGAGAACCTGTGTAGCCAGTAAGTTCTGGGGGATTTCTCCAGGAGAACCTGTGTAGCCAGTAAGTTCTGGGGTGATTTCCAGGAGAACCTGTGCAGCCAGTAAGTTCTGGGGGATTTCTCCAGGAGAACCTGAGCAGCCAGTAAGTTCTGGGGTGGTTTCCAGGAGAACCTGTGTAGTCAGTGAGTTCTGGGGTGATTTCCAAGAGAAGCTGTGCAGCCAGTAAGTTCTGGGGGATTTCTCCAGGAGAACCTGAGCAGCCAGTAAGTTCTGGGGGGGTTTCCAGGAGAACCTGTGTAGCCAGTGCGTTCTGGGGTGATTTCCAAGAGAACCTGTGCAGCCAGTACGTTCTGGGGTGCTTTCTCCAGGAGAACCTGTGCAGCCAGTAAGTTCTGGGGGGGTTTCCAGGAGAACCTGTGTAGCCAGTGCGTTCTGGGGTGATTTCCAAGAGAACCTGTGCAGCCAGTACGTTCTGGGGTGCTTTCTCCAGGAGAACCTGTGCAGCCAGTAAGTTCTGGGGTGGTTTCCAGGAGAACCTGTGTAGCCAGTGAGTTCTGGGGTGATTTCCAAGAGAACCTGTGCAGCCAGTAAGTTCTGGGGTGATTTCTCCAGGAGAACCTGTGCAGCCAGTAAGTTCTGGGGGGATTTCTCCAGGAGAAACTGTGCAGCCAGTAAGTTCTGGGGGGATTTCTTCTGGAGAAAGGTACCAAAGGAAAGGGGCCTTCCCTTCCAAGTCGTGCATGGAAGGAGCAGCTTCCTTGTGGATGGAGAAGGGACAGCTGGCTGGGGTGCTGGTGCAGCTGGGTGCTTGGGGGGCAAGGATGGTGGAATGGAGAAAAGTCTGGCTAAAAACAACTGGTTTCAATGTCAAATAAAATAGTGCTGGTGGGTGAAAATTACTTTACTCGTGAACCTAATTTCTCTTTTCCTCCTTTCTTTCATTTCAGGTCTAAGGAAAACCATAATCATATTATTATCTATATTAATAGTCATTTGTTGTGCAATTGCTGCTTTCTTCATCTGGTATTTTGGTAAGTTGTTTTGTTGGTTTTTTTTTATTTTGATTTATTTATTTACTTTTAATGTATTAAGATTTTCAAGTTTATAAGTATCTCATTCTCATTTTATGCTTTATGCTGAATTAAGGACAAAGAAGTCTTTGTTCCTTTTCTCCTAAGAGATGAACTAATATTGCTTCTTAATGGCTCAGTTTTGTTTGTGGGTTTAGGTGTTAGTGTTTTGTTTATTTCAGGGTTTTTTTTGTGGGGGGTGTTTTTTGTTTTGTTTTCTTTCTTTCCTTGTTTTGTTCTTTAATTCTTTCTTTTTAATTTTAATGCTGCTATTACTCTCCAAATTTGAGCTTCACTTAATTTCAGGTGAAGGGAGGAGTTTGCAGTAAGTGTGTAAAACTTAACTGCAAGACTGTAAATGGTCAAGATGTGTTTTGTTTTGATAAAGTGGGATCTCTCTTGGAGCAGAAGTCATTTACATCCATTTAGTTCTTTCTGTGGGGCTTTTGTGTAAGCATTTCATGAGCCCAACCTGTCTCAGCACTCTAAGTTGTACCGTGGATGTTTGCCTTGGAAGTCATCCCCAGCTGGGGTGGCTGAGCTCTGAAGCTGGGCTGGACCAGTTCTGTTCAGCTCAGGTGAAGTTTGTCTTGAATTTCCCTTTCATTGAAAGATGCTTTGCTAAAAGAGCAGGAAACTAAAAATTTGCTTTTAGGAGCCTCTCCTTTCTATGCTGCTCAGGAAAAGAGGAAGAGAGATTTAATGGAAGATGTCCCAGCTCATTGCATTTGGGTTTGACTAAAATGATGTTCAAAGACCCCTTCCAAACTATACTATGATTTTAAGAGAGTTAATTTAGAACTATTAGAATGACCCTATGAATGATTTTTTTTGACTCATTTTGATTTAAGCAGGGTGACTTGCTTAAATCAAATTAAAAGGGTGTAATCTTGTTTTAAATGAGAGCAGAAGTAGGTAATCGAGGCATTCACTCTCTTCCTCCTTTTCCACGTGTTAACACTTTGCCAGTGCAAAGCTGACTCCTTTCTGACAACTTCACGGTGCCTGATTATTCGGGGGAGGCTAGTGGCCAAAATCCAATCAGCTGCATCAGAGACTTGATCTGACAAGCGATTCAAAGGACAGAGCAATCCATCTTCTGCTGTGGCAGGCTGGGCTCCCTCCCACCTCCCGCTTTAAGAGCCACTTCCAGCGGTTTGCTCCATCCAAGTGGGAAACTCTTTGAGAGCTGGGCTGATGTGCAGCCTCCCGGCTGTGTTTGTCTCCCTGCAGTAGAGAATCACTGTCTCAGCTCCCTGATTGAGTGTGGCTCCTCAGGGGTGTGCATGTCCCCCTCCCAGTGGTGTGATGGAGTGAGCGACTGCCCCAACGGGGAGGACGAGATGCGCTGTGGTGAGTGACACCAACCTGGGCTGGGGGGGAAAAAACCTGCAGCAGCTGCAGGATGATGGTCAGCTGGGAGCAGACTGCCTTGTCCAGAGCTTGCCTAAGTTGCAACAAGGCTGTCTTAGCCTAAAGTCTGTTTTTTAAAATGGTTTAGGATGTGTGCTATGTATAGATGTTCACTTTGTTTCCTGGCTGATTGAAAAGCTGAAATAAAACGCTTGGCTCAAGGGTTTGAGCTGCCTTGACTTTGAGTCAGTTTTTTAAATATCACCTTTTAATTTGAGTGGGATTTGTGCAGAACTGAATCTAGCATTGTCTCTGGATGGAGCAGTCAGTGGTGACTTCTCAGTAAGCTTCAGGTGAAAATATAAAGCTGGTGGTCTTCAGTCAGGCTTGTCTTTTTCCATGTATTTTGCATTCTTCATTCTTCCCCCTTCGTTCTTCAACTACTTCCTAACTCATTTGTGTAAGAAAGCTTGGCCTAACCATTGCTTTGAACTGAAAAGATGCCAAGGGAAAGAAGCTTTAGTGCAGAGCTGAAGGTAGAAGGTGGAAACATTGATTTGCCCATTCCAGAGGTCTGGCATCTTGTGTCGTGCCAGTGCCACACTGGAAAACTCCAGCAGTGCTTTGAATTCCCTCTGTAAACTTGGATCCAGCACATTCTCATGCAGGACTAGCATTTGCTCATAGCTGTTCCACTCCATTTGGTTGAATAATGGGTTCTTGGAGAAGCCTGTTTCAATCAGTTCTTTTGCTTGAACTATTTTTCATTAAATTCTTGTGCAAGCAAATACATAATGGGAGGTGGAATGCCAGAGCTAATTGCTCCTGGTTACATGCTTGCTCTACAAAGGGCTCCTCTGAAGAAATTTGGTGTATTAAGACATAATAGAAAGTATTTTTCAATAGATCATATTTTATTTATAGACAGTATGTGATTAAGAAATACATGGTTGCATAGAGAAAAGATCAGAAAATTTTCATTATTGCAATCTTAGTGGTAGAATATAAAAGAGAATTTTGAGTATAAAAGCTGAATGAAAGGATGAGCCCTATCTTGTACATTTGCATTTTGAAACTGGTAGTTCTTTGAGATTGCCTTACATGAAAAGAAGTCAGTCATTTCCATATTCCTGTCTGCTGGATATTTACTCAGAATTTGAGTAGAAGGGAGCATTAAATTAACATCAGTTCATACATGAAGTGGATATTATGGGTAACTATTCCCAAGCAGAGAAAGCAGTAATAATAGCATGTGGTGTTCTTAGTTTCTTTTTTTGTTTTTTCTTTTCCCTTTCTTCCTTTTCTGGCAGTTAGACTTTTTGGACCAAATTTTATCCTGGAAGTTTATTCACCTGTCAGCAAATCCTGGTATCCTGTTTGCCAAGATGGCTGGAATGATGATTATGGGAAGATTGCATGCAAAGACATGGGCTACAGCGTGTAAGTCCAACCTCTGTCAGCCTTTGCTCAGACACAGAAAGGTTAAAATTTCCCTCTTGCCATTTTTTACGTGGCTGAGACTTTGCTGTGAAATTGTACTGGCAAAAAGGGGAATTGTACTCTTCATCTTGCCCTGTTCCATGAGGTGCATGCATATCAGATAGAAATATTATTTTAACCTAGCGGCTGGTGGGAAGTGGAACTTGACAGATGTTTCAAGAATCTGAGGCTCTGGCTGGGCTGCATTCACGTGAAAACAAAAACAAATATTTCTAGTGTCATGCCAGGAGCTCTGGTTTGGCACAGCTCATTGTTATCACTTGTTTGAAATCTGAAACCACTACTGGGTTTCATAGTGGGCTTTCTGTTTTGCAGGGATACGTATTTCCACAGTCAAGGGGTAGTGCCTGAAGTCAGCTTTAAGAGCTACATGAAGCTGAACACAAGTGCTGGGAACATAGACTTGTACAAAAAGCTGTACAGCAGGTATCTTTGTTTAATAAAAGCCTCTCTCCTTTCATCCAGGGTCTCTCCAGATGCTGTAAGAGCTGTAGCTTCTCCTGCAGCATAATGCAAGTGTGCATCTCTCAGTGGGGATTGTTGGAGGGAAAGAGACTTTATTTTTAATCTTGTTGCAGCAACTGTTCTTCCCTCTTTTTAAAAACACAGCTGCCATTTTTCACTCCTCCCTGTCCTCTGCTAAAAAAAAATGTCCCACCTTCTGTGCTGTGTAGAATATTGCCACGTCAAAGGTATTTTTCTAAGGCTCTCTGACCATCAGCAGGAATTTGTGTATGGTGACAGGAGCTACAAGCTGCAACACATTCACAGCAGCTGGCACAGCCTTTTTTTCTGTCACATGGACACACAGCATGCAAACATGGATCTTCACTGTGGAAAGCATAATTTTTATTATCATTAAACAACTCTGAAGTGTCCAGTTTCAAAACCTGTAGACTGCTGTGCCTGCAAGCTCCCTTGTTTAATTCTTCTGCAGTGACTTCCTAAATCAGCTCAACTTTCTCTCAAGCTGCTCTTCATCTTGCTTCTCAATAGGCTTGCACACCTTTTGTGTCTGCAGTCTCCCACAGGACAGTTTTGGTGGATGCAAGGCATGATGGAGCCAGATGGTTGCTGGTGGGGTAGCTGGAGAAAGTGAAGAAAGGAGGGAACCCTCCACAGGAAGATGAGGCTGAGGGCAGGGCATATAGCTGGAAAGGATAGAAAGCAGCTGGAGGGAGGACTTTGCTCACCATTTCCTTCACTGAGTGCCTAAGATCATGTTTGGTTATTTTATTTCTCCTGCAGTGGTTCCTGTGCCTCAGGAAAAGTGGTTTCTCTGCGCTGCATAGGTAACTCACTGGCTTTTTCAAACTTCTGCTTCTCTGGGCTTTGAAATGCTCTGGTTGGCAAATCCTTTTGGACCTGTGGCATTAACTGCATTTTTTGCATGGGCAAATGATTTATCTCTGGTTCCCAAATAATGCAGTTTTAGGAGCAGGGTGGGATAGGAGACAAGACTTGTGGTGAAGCTCCATATCTGTCCCCAGCAGCTGTGTTGGGATGTCTGTGGCACATTTGCTCTCCAAGATTCAGCAATCGGGTGGGCAGTGCCTTCTTGGTGGTGATCCCTGTCCTGAGCAGTCTCCTGGCTGCTGCTGCACAGCACAGAGGTGTCTGAATTGCCAGAGGTTCCTGAAAGGTGTGAAGAATTTATGGTGAACCGAGAGCAGCAGCTGCCAGGTGGGGTTTGCAATTTAATGGGGGTCTGGGCGATGGCAGATCTGGGATTTGGTGTCAGGGCAGGGCTTTGAGCTGTGGTGCATCCAACAGGTCAGACACGGTGTGTGCACCCCTCTCTCTGCCAGGGAAGCCTGAGGTGCAGAATCCACCTCCCAGCTGACTCTCTGATAAACCTCTGTGTGTGTGACTGACCTTTCAGAGTGTGGCCTGTCCAGCAAGAGCGTGAGCATCATGAACAGGATCGTGGGTGGCAGCGGGGCCGTGCTGGGGCAGTGGCCGTGGCAGGTCAGCCTGCACGTGCAGGGCACCCACGTCTGCGGGGGCTCCATCATCACCCGCCACTGGATTGTCACAGCAGCACACTGTGTGGAAGGGTGAGCCCCTCTCTCCATGGCTCTCTGCCTTTCTTCAAGCTGAAATGCAGAAATTTTATTCAATTCTCTCCTTTCAAACTGGATTCCTCCCCCCCACCTGACGTGCAGGTGCTCGGTGCCGTATTTTGTCTGTGAGGGAAATTTGAAGTATTAAGGGAAGATTGGTTCTGGGGGAGGCTGGCTGCAGCTCATCTGTCTGCTTTCTACAAGAAGCCTTATTTTATATTTTGTCTTATTTACAAAATGAAATGGGTGATGTTGAGCACAGATACCCACCCAATTTAAGATGTAAACTCAAGGCACCAAATTTAATGCCAGCCAGTACAATGTTTTCATGAAGATGTTGAATTACACTGTGAGAAAACCCAAAGGAAATTCCACCCCCGCCTCCAAATTCTCAAATATCACACTGCTGTAGATATGATCAATTTAAAGATGCCTGTGCCATTTATTTCTTCGTATCTTCTTGCCACAGGGTAGTAAAGTCCAAGTCAGTATTAAATACAGATTTATATCTATCCAAGGAGCACTTTATGTAGCCATCAACAAGAAAAATAGCTGGTGCTTTGTACATTTTTACCTATAAAAGAGAGTTGAGGGTTCTGTGGTACCCTCAGAAAGGGCAGAATTTGTTTAAAAGGTGGCTGCTTCTGTTGGAGGGAAAACCCACAAAGCAAAAACATTTTTGATGGTTGGTTGACTGGAGCACAGTTTGAGACTAAGGCAAGGAAGAATATTTGTCCTTAACCCTGAGAAAGGAATGCAAGCGTTGATTTCTACCTGGTCTTATCCCTCCTTTGTTGTCTGGATTTGAGCTCTGTAGTGTGCAAAAGCTTTGGGAATGGCAACCAAGCTGCAGCTGGCACAAACCTGGTTTTCAGCCTGATCTGGGGTTTTTTGGAGCTGGGGTGACTTGCAGGCACTACAGCCTTGGTGCTTCTCATGGAGGGAGCTTGAACACTTGTGGCAGGTTTTCTGTTAAGCTTTTGTAAACTGTGCTGGAGCACAAGAGGCTATTTAAATAACATCTAGCAAGTGTGCTTAATATAAAAAAAAAACCCACCAAGACTCAAAACCAGCCTAAAAAAAAACCCCCTGGCATTTTCAAGATAGTGAAATTCTTTCACCAGATCATGTTTTTACTAATTCTGGCTTCTGCTGATACCACTGACATGTGAGACTTCAGAATTACCTGCCTGATCCCTCAGTCATGGAAATCAAAGGGCTTCAGTGTCGCAGTCTCAGACTTAATTTGTTGTGCTGAGTGATTAAGGGGATGGACAGTGATACTTAACCCACTGCAAAGATTTTTTTGATACATTATTGAAACTCCAGCCAAGCTTTCCTCAAGTTACATGTCTGGCAATTTGTTTGTCTTATTCTTCAAAAATAGTAGTCAGATGCATGTGCATTTTTGGTCACACAAATATTTGACTACAGCTCCTGAAGACAATTTTTTGCAGGTCCTAATCCCTGTCTTGTCACCAGAGAAGAAATCCTTCATGCTTTTTCTTTGTTCTGTAGGCGATTTTCTGACCCACAGAGCTGGAGGGTTTACGCTGGCATTCTGAATCAGGATGAGATGCTCTTTAGAAGTGGATACAGAGTGCAACAGATAATTTCTCATCCAGATTATGACACAGACTCTAAAGACAACGATGTTGCCCTTATGAAGCTGGAGACACCACTGAGTTTTACTGGTAGGTATTCTGTTCTTCTTAAGGGAAAAATCCAGTGGCAGTGAGCACACCTTTTAAAACTTCAGAATTTCATCAAGCAATTCCTGTAGAGACTTATTGGAAGAACACAAAATGACCCTAGAGGCAGGGTATAGAGACAGAGGGCACAGCCTCTCATTTCCTAAGCAGGATTTATTTAAATCTATTGCATGGGTAGGTACTTTTATCTCAGAATGCTCTACAGTTTAGCCACTGCTGTATGTGCAGACATCTACAAGTGCAGTGGTGGAGCAGCTGATTAAATCCTGACTCAATTCAGGTCAAATGATGGTCAAAAAAACCCTTCCAAACTCAGCATTACAAGAAGTTCCTTTCATGAAAGCAGATGTAGGTTGTTTGTAAGCAATCAGTGCAAAATAGAGAACAAGCCATTATTTAAACTTGAAGTGCTTTTTGTGTACAGGTCCTTTGTGTTTCAGTGCATCAGTTTAAAGCTACCAGGAGTAATCTGAAAGGGATTTTCTGCTGCTGAGAGCAGGGAGATTGTCTGTTCTGGTGCTGCACACTTCTTGTGTATATCAGTACTGAATCCTGCTTGTCTTGTGATTATTTTCAGCAGAGTTTTGCAAAGAGAATGCAGAGCTGTAGTTTTTAGAATTTTTTCTTTGTCTTCGGCTGCTCAGAGGAGCTGGTGTTAATTGTTCTATTTAACCTGAACCTTAAGGTAGAACCATTACCTGTTTGTTCCTCATTTTGAGGTAATGATCAGGTAGATTTGAGGAGATGATCACATAGATTTGAGGTGAAGATCAGGTACCCCTCAGGGAAAGGGCAGCTGGTAAACTTTCTGCTGCCTCCTGCATTGTCTGCCTGCAAGGATTGTAGAGAACAGAGGGAATGCACGGTGTGTAAGTGGTGGCATTTTAAATTTATTTTGCTTTCTGCCTGGACATTGGTTATTCTGTTTGTTTTGCAGAAACTGTGAGGCCAGTTTGTCTGCCCAATCCAGGAATGATGTTCCAGCCTAACCAGCAGTGCTGGATATCAGGGTGGGGAGCAGAGTACCAAGGAGGTAAAAAGTACTTCTGGAATATTTTGTTTTTTTTCCATAAACTAGTCCTCTTCATCCTGTGAATATTGTTTTATGGGCTGATGGGGCAGTTTGAATTAGATCTGTTCATACACTATTTTTTCACCCATTTTACAGCCCCCAATATTTACTCAGGGCATTCTGTCTCAAAGTAAGTTGTGATGTGTTGCATTCAGCAGACTGCAAAGGACCCTCAGATCAGTACTGGGGGCCAGAAATTCCCAACCAGGAGATAATTCTCTGCCCCTACTGGCAGGAGCTGCTCCTTTCCACCACCTCAGGCTGAAATAGAATGGTGCAAGAAAATTTGCAAGACTGGAAAAAGGAAAGGGAGGAAAGAGGTTTTATTTGTAAATAAAGGTACTGGGAGAAGTCCTGTTGGCCTCTTGTAGACTTCTTAAATCTTAAATTTCCACCCTGCTGCTTCTAGGAAGTTTAAGTAATGTGATGCTTATTCTGACTTTGTCTTTGCGTGTTTGTGCATATTTAAATCCCAGGTAAAACATCAAATAACTTGAATTTCGTTGCCGTGCCTTTAATAGAACGTTCGAGGTGTAATTCTGTTTATATCTACAATGGCATGATTCTGCCTACAATGATCTGTGCTGGAGACCTAGCAGGGGGAATTGATTCCTGTCAGGTAATTATTCCTAATTAATAGCTAATAATCATCTGATTACTTTTGTGGCCTTGCTAGTAGACTATCTATCTATCTATCTATCTATCTATCTATCTATCTATCTATCTATCTATCTATCTATCTATCTCAAATAAATTCTATGCCCCCCCAAAATTAAAAATTTGCATTACATCTGGTTGGGCTTCTGGTTCCTTTGGTGGTGCACCCCTTTAAAGAGGAGAGCTTTTGTTTCATTGTCTGAATGGCTGCCAGTGCTGAGTTCTCACTAAATTCCCAAGGAGGGTGAGGCTTCTTTTTAATGCTTCAAGGATGGTTTGTTACCTGGTACCTGAAAGTGATCAAATGCTCCTCATAACCATGGCATTATTATCATTATTGTATTATTAATCACAGCATTGTGCTTGTAAACAAGACAGTCAATAATGCCAATCTTACTTGGAGGGCTCTGGGCAAATTATTTTCATCCCTATTGGAAGGGGGATTCATTTAACACCAGAATTGCCAGCATATCTTGTTTTGTGACTCCCTAAATGGCAGGCAGGTTTATATTGGACCTAAAGCTGTGTTCCTGGAGTGAAATGGGTTGGGTTTTTCCTGGCTGCTGTGTCACTGACAAGGTGTTTGTGTCCCATGCAGGGTGACAGTGGAGGTCCTCTGGTGACCCACCACCACTCTGTGTGGTGGCTGGTTGGAGATACCAGCTGGGGCACTGGCTGTGCCACTCCCAACAAACCTGGAGTCTATGGGAACATGACTGTGTTTACAGACTGGATTTATAAAAATATGCAGGTAAAATATTTGGGGTTTTTCATAAATTTTAAGGCCCCACATCCTGAAGTGTGGGGCCTTAATAAATGTGACTTGCATGGTAACAAAGCTGTTGTGTTGGGAAACATCCAAGTGATTGTTAAAACAGAACCTGAACCTTTGTTTTCTGTTTTGCTTTGTCTTTAAAACAGGCAAACAGATGACAACACTCTCCTTGCTCATCGATGTTCCTGAGTACAAGAATTAATGAAGCCATGGGGGCCTGGGATATTTATTCACTTTGCGGTTGATTTCATCTCTCCTCTTTGATTTTTCTTTTTAAAAGTAACATGAAGGATTGCACACTTGGTTCTGTGCTGGCTACAGTGACGGATCTTAATCAGTGAAGGATTATCACAGTGAGCACCTTTCCTCTCCTTGTGGTGCCTGGCAGAGTCATTCTGTGAACTGCTTGCTGAAATTTCTCTCTTTTGTTGAGTAACTTTTGCTTGATGATCAGGCTTATAATGACAATTTAAATCACGATTTAATTTCAGATTTTCCTAGCAGGATGCTGAGACAGTTGGTTTAGTAGTTTTTAAATTAAATGTTAAGCAATGTGAATGTTGAATCTCCGAGCTGCTGGTTGGCAATTTAAAAGGAAATGAATGTTTTTTTTAGTATAGAATTACAAAATGGTTTGGGTTGGAAGGGACCTTAAGGATCATCCAGTTCCAACCCCTCTGCCATGGGCAGGGACACCTCCCAGTATCCCAGGTTGCTCAGAGCCCCATCCAGCCTGGCATTAAACACTTCCAGGGATGGACCATCCTCAGCTTCCCTGGGCAACCTGTTCCAGTGCCTCACTATCCTCACAGGGAAGAACTTCTTCCTAAAATCTAATGTAAATGTACCCTCTTTCAGTCTGATGTCACTGCCCCTTGTCCTTTCACTCCATGTCCTTGTCCAAAGTCCCTCTCCAGCTTTCTTGTAAGCCCATTAGGGACTGGAAAAGGTGCTGAGGTCTCCCCAGAGCCTTCTCCAGGCTGAACAACCCCAGCTCTCTCAGCCTGTCTCCATAGCAGAGGTGCTCCAGCCTTTGGAGCTCCTTTGTGGCTCTGGACTCGCTCCAACAGGTCCATGTTGGAGATCCCAGAGCTGGATGCAGGATTCCAGGTGGGGTCTCAGGAGAGTAGAGGGTGAGGGATATATATGAAGGGAACTTTTCATGCACTACAGTCCAGGCACAGAAAATAAAATAAATGTATATATATACTGTATATTCAGGTAGTTAAAAATCCTCAGGATCTCAACACAGCCGTCAATCAAAGCCAGGCTTTGCAGTCTGGCTGCCTCAGACCTTACAAAAAGTGCTGTTCTGCCTTAAGCTGCTCTGAACCCAAAGTGGGCACTTTGTGGATGTGGGATTTGGGCAGGGATGTCCCAGAGCTGCAGCAGGAGCAGTCTCAGTGCTGAGGTCCCTGGCTGAGCACACTGAAGGTGACTCTGGAGCTGTCCCTGCTGTGAAAGGCAAAGGGCAAATGTTTGCAGGCAGGCTGTGCTGCCCCTGGAGCTGCACACACAGCCACACACACAGACTGGATGTTTTGTACAAGGAAACACAAAGCTGCGTTTCTGCAGGACGAGATGAACTACCTCATTTGTTAAATTTGGCTTCTGATTCCTTACAGCTCTCCTTTACGTGTCTGCCTGGATGTTTTTAGCAAAATGTTAATTCCAATCTGAGTGCCACCTGAATGAGGGTTTTGAAAATAATTTATAATCGTGGTAGAGGATCAAAAAGCCATATCAAGTCACTTTGTTAAGAAGGATAAATCTTTATTGAATGAAATTACTCCACTAGTCTTGTTTTCTCTTTTGGTACTGAAATGCAATTATCTTACATGTAAACACTGCACCAAATAAATTGTTTTCTTTTTTTTTTTTTTTTTTTTTTAAAAAACAGTTTTTTTTCTTCGTGCTTCCT